CATGCTAAGACAGCTAGGAAGCACACAATGAAAAGAAGATCCAGGAATAAGAAAATATACTCTCAGGTTACACAAACAGTGAGGTGCCTATTCTGATTTGGCTCCTACCTCCATGAGACTTTGGGAGCACATTTTAGATAGACGAATAGACTATAACTAAATATATGGGAAAGAACTTCCAAAGTTGTAGCTACTCAATCATGTTTAGTTATGCATTGAATGTTTCTGTCTACACTCTTTGTTCTACAGCTGATTAGGACAAAGGCATAAAAGTCTGCCTGAAACTTCCTTCATGTACCTCACATCTGAGCAGACTGCCCTCATTCCAAGTGTCTCATTCCCAGGGATGTCTCACTGCCACTTTCTGGGCTTAGAGATCACTTGTACTGGGGTAGTTGTCTCTAGATGGATTCTCACTATTTCCCTCGATCATTCATTCTCCCATGCTTCGGAGGGAGGGACATTTCCACATGTGCATTTGTTTATATCATCTCTTAGAATCTGAACTCCATCCACCACTCAAGCTGCTTTCTGCCTCAAATCCAGCCTACATTTCCAGACACCAGCCCCCAGAGTTGCCTTTCCCCAATTTCTTAGCTAGGCTCACTCCAGTGAAGGCCAAGCCACTTATCTTCATCTGATTAATCCTGTATCATCCTTCCAAATCCATCCCAGGGTCTCTTCCCTGGAAGGTCCTCCAAGGCTTCCCAATTCCTGGAATTTACATTATGGGTGCATCAGACTCACTGAGCTGTTTATACTCCTGTCACCAATTAGATATTTCACACCTGTAGATGCACAAGTAGCATGTACCGTATTTTCAACATGAGTTTGGTGGTGACTCAGTTACTTTTCCCTCATTGCTGAGACAAAATACCTGACAGCCAAAATTAAGGAAGGAAAGGTTTATTTAGCTCACAGTTTGTGGAGGTTTTAGTCCATACTTGATTGGCTCCATGGCAGAGGGCCACATGGCACAGGGCAAACATTTATGGTGGCAGAACACATGAAAAGCAACAAGAGCACAAGGGAGGAAGAGTGGCAGCAAACAGCCTATTTCTGTCCCTTCCATATGCAAAACTACCTGCTCTAGGGTGGGCGTAGCACTCATATCCATAATCCCAGCATTGGACCATGGATCAGTCATAAACTCTAGAAGCCCACCCCATGAGTGTGTGAGGCTTTGAGGGGACATCCAGACACAAACTATAACAGGTGGGATGAAGGTTCTATACAGGTTTCTTCATGTAAGTTTATAGGACTTCTAAGAGCCTTTAAAAATCAAATAAGTACAGTAAGCAATTGATTATGAATTGTCAATTATATAAGACTCAGAACCCCCCCCCCCCCATATCCTTACCTTATCTGAGCATGGGGCCTTTCATTCCCTCTAACAGAAACTCTAGAACCACGGGTATTGTAGAACAAAACTTCACAAACTTTGGTAGAACATAAACCACTACAAAATCTGAGCCAAATCCTAGCTCACTATTTATCCATGCTAGCAAGGGTCCTTGGATAAAAATAGAAATGTTAATCACATCTAATTGGTGGTGTTTTTCCTTTCTTAATTTTCCTTTCTAAAATTTCTATAATAACCACCCTTTAAGTTTGTGAATAACATGTTTACAATGTAAAGTGAAAATTCAAAAAGCCTCCTCCCACCTTTCTAGCCCCACGGCTTAATACACTCATCATGTTTACTTTGCATAATCTTTTAGAATATCCACATGAGCATTTTCAAACATTTTTTAGTAATCAAACTTTGTTTTAAAATCCTAATACTACTGACTTTCAGCTCCCCTGGCTGCTATAAAGAATGTGAAAGAAACTCTGCACATTACCAGCCCAGCACAGAGCTTGGCACAGGACAGGCACCCCATAAATATGAGTTAAAATTAGACTCCTGCTTTTGAATTGGAGCAATGACTCGGGCAGGAGGCCCTGTGCCAATTGCTTCCAGAGTTGATGATTTCCAGAAGTTGCTATTCTGTGCAGATTCAGAAAGAAATTTACACCTTCCTAGCTCCAGCCCTTGGAGCCTCTAAAAGCAAACAACTAGGGAGGAGACAGGGATGTCTGTACCCCTTTCCCAGGGTCATAGGGCTCCCAAGTAGTCCCTTGGCCTGCCAGGTGCTACAGCACTTTCCCAGTGGTGGCATCAAGAGAAACTGCCTTGGCCTGTGTGCACTGTGCAGGAAGGAAGAAGCAGAGAATAAAGTCTCAACACCACCACAGGCAAAGACCTTGCTCTCCCCTCTGTGAGCTCCTGCCAAGCTCAGAAAGCTCCTCGTGGATTTTTTTTTTTTTTTTTTTTATCACAGTCAAATTTTTCACTTACAGAAAACGCTGCTGCAGATGGACAAGTCCCCACAAACCCATGCCAGGGACTCTCTGCGCAGATCCTGCCACTTGGCATAATAAAGTCCTGATTACCACACCGCTGTGGAGTGCTGGCCTTGCCAGAGGCCTGCTTTTAATGAACTTTACCATCCAAAGTTGGCCCAGAGAATATGGGTTGGATTTTGCCAATCAATTGGAATTGATTACTTTTTGAAAGCTGGGTCTCAGCGAGCAGGAAACATACACAAACACACCCAACATTTGAGAGTTAGTTTGATTTCCTGGAGAAAAAGGAGTTCTTTGTAGCCTGAGATAATGATGGATCAAACTCCTTGAGCTTCCCAGAACTGGATGAAAGTGGTGTTTCTAAGGGGAACTTGGGCCAGTGAGTAAGCTCAGGCAGTCTCAGCACGCAGATTATACTTGGAGTACAGTTCTTTCTCTCTCTTTTTTCTTTCTTTGTTCCTTTCTCTCTCTCACTCTTTCTTTCTTTCTTTCTTTCTTTCTTTCTTTCTTTCTTTCTTTCTTTCCTTTCTCTTTTGTTCTTTCTTTCTTTCCTTTCTCTTTTGTTCTTTCTTTCTTTCTTTCCTTTCTCTTTTGTTCGTTCTTTCTTTCTTTCTTTCTTTCTCTCTCTCTCTCTCTCTTCCTTTCTATGTATTTCTTTTTTCTTGCCCATCCATCCACCTATCAGACCTCAGTGACACTTACCGTGAGCTGAGAGTGTAGCTCAGTGGGAGAACTCTTGCCAGGGCTTTGATCTCCTTAGCCATCATGCTCTGTTAGGCCTATGAACAGTTGTCTATTTTTAGGATTCCACACTATTGAAATCCTCCTACCTTGTCTCTCTGTGTCATTCTGGTCCTGCATAGGATATGCTGGGAGGTAGGAGAGCAGGAGGATGGGGGGATGTGGGAAAGACAGAGGATCCCAGACTGTGTACTTCGATGACACCCCTTTCGTGCAGCTGGAAGGGCAGGCTACAAGCCCCTCTGCTCATTCTGGCCTGCCCATTGAGCATAAGTAGCCTGAGGAACAATCTCCATCTTAATGTGGGCCCCTCCCTGGCCCAAGACAATCATTTGATGGCATGTGCTGTCATTACCTTTTCAAGGGGCCTGAGGAAGAATCTTGGGTCTCTGAATTTCATCCTGTTTGCACCTTAAAGCCAAGGTCAGATCCTCTGCTTCCTTGCCTATTCAACATATATTAATCACCTAACAAATTAACCTTAACTGTAGTAAAAAATGTGTGCTTTCCCTGCCTGTGATGGTTAGTTAATATTATCAACTTCATTGGCTTGAGAAATGGAGAAATGCCTAGGAGAGGGGTAAAGCACACTTCTTGTGGGTCATGGGACCGTGACCTTGGGGACTATATCTGGTCCTTGGTCCCTTCCTCCTGGGCTCTTCCCCTGCTGTCTGTTTCTTGGATGCCATGAGTCAAGCAGCTTTCCTTCCTCTTTGATGTTTCTTCCCTAAAGCCAGCCAACCATGGTCTGAACTCTCTAAAACTATGAGCCAAAATAGACCTTTTCTCCTTTAAGTTATATGTCTGAGGTATTTTATCCCAGCCACAGAAAGCTGACCAATACACTGCCTATCCTTGTCTCAAATACCTCCAGTTCCTCCTTCCTGCTAGACAAGCTCATGTTCATACCATAAATTTGCAGACTGCCCCTTCCTGTCCATAGTCTTCCCTGAAGAGAGCACAGCACCATCCCAAGTAGGGCAGCCAGTCTTACTTATTTTTCATTTTCTGAAATACTCCTCTCCTGAGCCTGTCATTACTCCCCCTTCTATTTAACCTATAGATATCTATAGGGTTTCCTCCAAAGCCTGCGAAAAGAGCCCTGTTTCAATTAACGTACAATTTTTTTTCTTAATGAGCAGCAGTATGAGATAATAGACATGTAAATTTGGAAAATACCTTGGAGATCCTCTAATCCAACCAGAAAATTCTATAACCCAGGAGGGACACCAGAACCAGAGAGGTAAGGTTAAAATGTTCAAAGTCACTCACATTAGTAAGGACATTGGGACATGAACTTATTTCTGCCTATTCCCATCCCAGGGCTGTTTGCACAAAATGAACATCATTTATTCCTTTGTTGGTTGATTCACTGATTAAGCAGTGTTTGGCCTTGTAACGCACATACCTTGGCTTTGCCTTCCCAGAGATCTCTTTTTATTAGTGCCAGCAGTCCATTTATGGGGACACCCACCCCTCCTTTATCTTGTGTAGCCTTGGGAGACCTAGCACACACTGCCCCCCACAACACAGAATACAAGAATGTGAGACACTTGGAGTACACATTCTAGCACGTGCCAGCTGAGCCATAGTAGAAGTGTGATCTAAGTGTGACCCAAGTGTGACCTGTCCCCCATGAGAGTGGCACAGTAGTTCATCCTTATCCCTGGGGGATACATTCCAAGATCCCTAAAGGATGCTTGAAATCATGGATAGTACCAAAGCCAGAATAGATTATGATTTTTTCCTGTACATTCATACCTATGATAAAGTTTAATTTACAAATTAAGTATAGTAAGAGATTAGTAGCAATAAATAATAAAAGTAGACCATTTATAGCAATGTTTTATAAAAAAAAAACTAGGTGAATGCTTCTCTGTCTCTCTTTCAAAATATTGTACTGGACTTACCCTTCTTGAGAAGATGTGAGATGATATGGCGCCTATGTGATAGGATGAAGTGAGATCAATGCCACAGGCATTAAAATGTAGCATTAGGCTGCTACTGACCTTCTGACAAGCTTCAGAAGGAGGGTCATCTGCTTGGCCCATCCTGGGTTATGCAGCTCTGGCAGTATCGTTAAGTAGCATACACAGTGTGGATATGCTGAACAAAGAGATGACTCACGTCCCAGATGACAGTGTAGGATTTCATTGTGCTCCTCAGAATGCTGGTGATTTAAACCTTGTTGATTGCTTGTTGCTGGAATTTTCAGTTTAACGGTTTAAAATCAGGACTGACCACAGGGAAGCGGAATTATGAAAAGCAAAACCACAGACAGTGGGTCACTAAATACAGATCAGGGGAGTTAGGTTGCCCCATTCCACCCCACTCTGTCCCCTGTGGAATGCTTATCCATAAGGATATGATTCTACTTTAGGGTTGCTATCTTCCATCTTTTAACCATGGTGACAGATCCTGCCTAAACAAGAAGCCAACAAGAGTTCAGAAGGGAAGCAGAGTCCTAGTAGCAGCTCTGGATCCAGCTGGCTTCTCAAGGAGCTCCATCTTCTAAGACAGCCAGCCACCAAAACTCACACACGATAAAGCTGCACAAGGACAAGTAACACTTGTCTTTCATTCTGATGCTAGTATCCTATTATTTAACCCTCAGAGTCCACAAAGTGAATGTGACTAAACCTATCTGATTGTGACACAATTAAGGCTTTGGCAGGTGAAATATCTTGCCCTAAGTCATCAGCCACTTAGCCAGGAGGAAAGTCCAAGTCATCTTCAAAGTCATGATGTTTCTCACTTTCTCCACTTAATTTTCTGTGACACAGAAAAGAATGGGTGATCGTGGAAGCCCAAAGGAGACAACTGTCACCAAACTGGGGCTGGAGGGTAGAGGGAAGGGGTGTCTCCATTGGGATTACGGACAGTGCGGTCTCCAGTGGTGTCTTAAAAGATGAGCCAAAGTGAATAAGGCCAGGAAAATGGGGGGAATGCTTACAAGAGAGCCTGAGATGTAGTTCACTGGTAGAGTGCTTCCCTAGCATGCATTAGGCCCTGGGTTTGATAACTAGCACTGAAAAAAAAAAAAAAAACAGAGAGAGAGAGAGTTCTGAAGATTGTATCTGACATATACCCTGTTGTACCATTTCCATTTCCAAACTGCAGAAAGGTTTCCTCTTGTCCAAACAGTGGTAACCATTAAAACCGTGCAGAAGTTTCTTTTCAAAGATCTCTCTCCTCTCTCTTCCTCTCTCTCTCTCTTTTTTCCTCTCTCTCTCTTTCTTCCTCTCTCTCTCCCTCTGTCTCTCTCTATCTCTCCCTCTGTGTCTCTCTGTGTCTCTGTGTCTCTCTCTGTCTCTCTCTGTCTCTATCTCTGTCTCTGTCTCTGTCTGTCTGTCTGTCTGTCTCTCCTTCCTGCAAAAGGCATTGGAGGTTGGGAGTCTTTGTTGCTCCCGGGTGATGTGAGGTGACAGGGAAACGCAGGCTCGCATTCCATCTGTATTCCAGGGAGCCTCTCTGCAGCGCTACGGAAAAGGCGTTCTGCAACCTTTTGCCGCTGCTTTCTTTAAAAGCTTCAGCAATTTCGATATTTTGGTTCAGTGTCACTATAGAAAAGCTTTACAATTCTAGCTCGGGAATTAGAAGATATATTTGTAATAAGAATTGCTAACCGCTGTCAGCTGGCAGGCCCGTGTCCATGCATGAAAATGATGCCATTAGCTTTCACGACTGTGGGCAAAATGTAAAGATCATGGATCATATAAGAGACTGAATGAAGAGAGAGAGGGGGAAAAAAAAAACCACACTCCTTCCCAGGGGGTTCCTGGCAGTCAGGGTGTATGGCTAACATGTGTGCATTTAGCCCCTTGATGAGGTAGAAAGCTCAATACTACTTGTCTTTGCAAATACTAATTTTCCCCCTTTATTGTATCTAACTGCTTTCTCCAATAATGTTGATGAATCATGTAACTGCATTTTAATGAGGAGACTGTAAAGTCTGAGAGAGAGAGAGAGAGACAGCGAAGAAGAAAGAAGAAATGAAGAAAGACAGAATCAGGCCCTCAGCACCTACGTCCTTGCAGGTCAGCAGTGTCTACCCTGTCTCTGATAGGAGAGTTAAGTCCCTCACATGCATAAGTGTGTGTGGTCAGGGCTGCTGCTCTGTCACTCCCAGGCCATGTGAGTCTGGCATATTGCTGATGTTCTCAGGGCCTCTGATTCCAGTAGAATCCACTTCCTCCCCACAGGAGAAAACATGGGTCCCTATCTGTTATGCTGTTGGTGTTGAGATACCTGGAGAATGAAAGAGTCCCACATTCCTTTTTTTCGTGATACTTAAAAACAAAGTGGGAAACTTAGATTGGGAGGAGAACAGTAATAACCCCATGGCGTGCACTTAGGTGAGGATCCTATGGGATAACATGGCCAAAGGGCCATGAACACAGTAGGGGTTTAATAAATGCCCATCTCCCCCACCCCTTATTCTCATTCATTTGTTATGTCAGTCAAGAGAGGAAATTTTCTTAGCACCGTTTCAGGTAAAGAAGAGAGTTAAGGTCAGAGACTGCAAGGATTTGTCAAAGACAGAAAGCTGGCAGGGCACAGTGTAGAGCTGTACTGTCTGACTGGGAACCATGGACTCTTGTCATGATGAGAAATGTGGACATGACAACCAGAAAGTCTGTGAAATAACCCTGACTCCACCCTAGAGAGTAAGGAAAGGAGAAAGAGGAGAGTTTGGGGAGCGAGCAGTGGAGATTGGTGTGGAGAATTTGGCAAGATGAACCCTAGGCAGAGCCAAGGGATCTGAACTTAACGTCCCCAACCTGTTCAGGGACCCAAGCTAGTCACATTGCTCTAATCTTGGGTCCTGCATCTGTCACCTCGTGGATCATGCTTATTGTTAGTTTCCAGGTCCCTTTTGTGCACTGACTTTGTGGATTAAATATTCTCCTAGGCTAATTAATTCCAATTCTCCTTAGTTGCCAAAAAATTTCTCGTTAAGGACTAACAATAGGAACTGAAGGGTTGTTGTAAAATAATAAACATAAATTTTGAAACATAGCACTTGCAAGACACTTGTTTTACAAGGTGTTTCTTGTATACTACTCTTAAAAAGGTCCCTGCAAACCTGAAAATACACATTTTTTTAAAACCCAGAAAAGTTTAGCAGTGTGTTTAATCTTGTACAGCTCTCTTTTGGCAAGTCTGAAGTTCAAGTCCAAACTTCTTGACATTAAACAGTGGATAACTCACCACAAAGGACCTCCCAATGGATTAAGGACATGGATTAAATATAACTGAACTTAGCCCAGGTGCACTGTACACACAGCTACATTAAGGTCTCAGAGTGACTGCAAAATGCTGCATTTTTCAAAATGTGTTCTTCAGGGCACCTCTATGGTGCTCATATTATGTTGGAGCTTGTTTGAATATAATCATCAGAGCCCATTCCCACCTACTTACTGGGAGTCTCTGGGACACAGTTAAGTACATGCAGTTTGCTTAATGAGCTTCCCTGAGACCTAGGAACCCACTACTGTAATATAGATGTCATCGTCTCTGTTTACAAAGGAGAAAAGTGAGAATCATGATGAATCAGTGTCTCATCCAATTTATAAGAACTATGGGTAATACATATGGTAAATGTTTAAATAAAAAGTTTAAAAATTTATTATAAGAAAAAAATTTATTATAAGAAAAGATGAAACGATGCATTGTCATTAATCCTTCTCAAATTACTTCTCCTTGCTTCAAAGGCACTTATCCCATTCTTGTCACTTTCTGAAGCAGTTCTGGAAGTTCTCTTTATGAATATCTTTTGTGTCTGCCTTAATGTTCTGAATCAATTCAAAATGTTTACAGCAATTTCTATTGAATAAAATAATGCAGGGGCTGGGGATTTAGCTCAGTGGCACAGCGCCTGCCTGGCAAGCGCAAGGTCATCAGTTCGATTCCCAGTACTGGAAAACAAACAAACAACAAAAGAAAAATGCAGTGTGTCCTCATCCACCTTATTCACCAGATCTGTCAGTATACAGTTTCTGGCTTTTCCCCAAAATTAAAATGACCATGAAAGGTAAACATCTGTATAGATTCAGGATGTCAAAGCAGCCACACAACACAGCTAGCCACTCATGAATGAGTGACTATTTTGAGGGGCATCAATGGCAATGTATTATATTAGTTACTTTTCTCATTCCTAAGATACGCTGCCTGAAAACCACAACTGTTATAGTTTATATCTAAATCGCCTCCCAAAATCTTACGTGTTCATCAGTAGGGTTTTTGGGAGGTGAATGAATCAAATGTATGTAATATTGGATTAGTCCACTGGTGGGTTTATAGCTAGGTGTAAAGTTAGGAGATGAACCCTGGTGAGATGAGATTGGTCACTGTGAGCATGGCCTGAATGGATGTATGTACATATATCCTTTCTTTCTTCATGCCTCACTGCTTCCTCCCTGCTCTTCCATGAGCTCTTTCTCCTCTTCCATGCCCCTCTACCATACTGCCTTGCCTTGGAACCCGCTGACTATGAACTGAGACCTCTCAAATCTGTGAGCAAAATAAACCTTTCCTCTTTTAAGTTCTGGGTATCCAGTATTTTATCCCAGCAATAAGAAAGTTGCTAAGAAAACAATTTAAAGGAAGAGAGGTTTATTCTGACTCACAGTTCAGTCTGTGTCAGCCAGCTCTGAAGAACAAACAGCATAGCAGAGCAGCATGGTGGAGGAGAACTGCTACCTCACATCATCCAGGCAGCAGAGTAGAGAGTGGAGCTGGAGAGGGTGATACAACCTTCTAGCTCAAGCCCCCAGGGACACATCTCTTCCCACAGGACCTCCCATGACAGTAAGTCAGCTGTAGCACTCCCACAATCCAATCAGATTCCAAAAACCTCACCACTGAGCACATAGGTTTTGGAGTGATGTTCAGATATAAGCAGTAATGTATATTTTCCTATAATACATTTTTAAAAATGAAAACACTTGCTGTATTTTTTTATTGTACCTCATGTAGTATTAGATCATGGATTCAGTCTTCACTCCTCATTATCCCAAAACTTGTGAGCCAACCAATGGATGCATCTTC